AAGCTTGTGCAAAAAGTAGCGGCTTATAGCCCGACAATTACGGTAGTTAATTTTGTAAATTTGGGGATTTGTAGGTTCTCAGTTGTCCAGGTCGTGTGAGTCTTGAGCACAGGGAGGAGCGTCCCCGTGGGGGTGGTCCTGAGGGTTGTTGACCCACTACTGATCATGTGAGCAAATTTGTGACAGAAGGTGTGGGTCATTACAATCAGACATTTCAGCTCTTGAGACTAAATGTCTTCACAAACTTAAAAAAGTCCATCTGGTCATTCTAAGAGTCAGAGAGGAGGATTATCCAGGGTATGTACAACAGGCTGTCGATTACAGCTTGTTAACCAGTGAGGTTTCATAGTCAAATTCACAATATGTGGTCATTTCACCAGTCACTATGTTAACAACTGCAAAAACTTATAGGCTTTTTGTTAGGTCCATCTTTTGGAAGTAACCATGAGAAGACTAAAGGAAAGCTGCCAAAACTCACTTAATTATATATTGAATATGACCTGAAGTGAGTGACTGAGGCCATAAACTTAGTGTTTACAAAGGGCTGTTCTCTGATAGAACTAGAAGTCTTTTTCCAACCACACATTTCCCCCCTGGTGGTCATGAAAAAGAATGCAGTTTTAAGGCACTTTTAAACCTTCATAGTTTCAACTGTCTGTTTGCTAATCAACACACGTCACATTTGTTCACTTGGCTAAAAAGACTAAAGAATTAGGGTTTTGCAATTTATGTATGAGGTTATTTTTAGGGCAGAGACCTTATATCCCAGCTTCACTTTAATTACAAATTTTTCTTTATTTCAGTGCAGCATTCAGACTTTGTAAATTCAGAAAAAAGTCCCCTCCATGAACTTTCTCATTTGTTTTAAGAAGGCGACGTGTTTAATACTTAATTATAAGGAGAAATGACACAAAGAGGCGCCTCTTTTTCTGTTTTCTCGATTACAGAATGAAATCGTGTATAAATATTTTTTTCTTCACGGCTCCAGGACTGGCAGTTTGTGGTGAGCTCGAAGCACCACACAAATACCAGAGGGAGGGACACATTTTGTGCAGCCGCAGTCTCGGGCAGACGGATTTAACACCTAACATTTCCAGACGAGTCCAACAACCTCCACGCAAGCATAGCCTGGCAGCTGTTTATGTGAAACCCTGTAAAACGCACTCCCGCTCGGCCCTTCCTGCTTAGATAATCCTGTTTAAGTCCAATGAGGAAACTTGTAACTGCTGGAAAAATCACTTTTTAACAGTAGTCAAAAA